GCTTGGCCTGCCTGATGTCCAGCGCCCGCATGTACGTCGCCTCAGCCTCATCCAGCTGTCCTGCGCCTGGTACACACCCGCCAGGTTGTTGAGCGTGGTCGACACGTCCAGTGCATCCGGTCCCAGCTTGGCCTGCCTGATGTCCAGCGCCCGCATGTACGTCGCCTCAGCCTCATCCAGCTTGTCCTGCGCCTGGTACACACCCGCCAGGTTGTTGAGCGTACCCGCCACGTACAGTGCATCCGGTCCCAGCTTGGCCTGCCTGATGTCCAGCGCCCGCATGTACGTCGCCTCGGCCTCATCCAGCTTGTCCTGCGCCTTGTACACACCCGCCAGGTTGTTGAGCGTGGCCGCCACGTACAGTGCATCCGGTCCCAGCTTGGCCTGCCTGATGTCCAGCGCCCGCATGTACGTCGCCTCAGCCTCATCCAGCTTGTCCTGCGCCTCGTACACACCCGCCAGGTTGTTGAGCGTGGTTGCCACGTACAGTGCATCCGGTCCCAGCTTGGCCTGCGTGATGTCCAGCGCCCGCATGTACGTCGCCTCAGCCTCATCCAGCTTGTCCTGCGCCTCGTACACACCCGCCAGGTTGTTGAGCGTGGTCGCCACGTCCAGTGCATCCGGTCCCAGCTTGGCCTGCGTGATGTCCAGCGCCCGCATGTACGTCGCCTCGGCCTCATCCAGCTTGTCCTGCGCCTTGTACACACCCGCCAGGTTGTTGAGCGTACCCTCCACGTCCAGTGTATCCGGTCCCAGCTTGGCCTGCCTGATGTCCAGCGCCCGCATGTACGTCGCCTCGGCCTCATCCAGCTTGTCCTGTGCCTTGTACACACCCGCCAGGTTGTTGAGCGTACCCGCCACGTACAGTGCATCCGGTACCAGCTTGGCCTGCCAGATGTCCAGCGCCCGCATGTACGTCGCCTCAGCCTCATCCAGCTTGTCCTGCGCCTGGTACACACCCGCCAGGTTGTTGAGCGTGGTCGCCACGTCCAGTGCATCCGGTCCCAGCTTGGCCTGCGTGATGTCCAGCGCCCGCATGTACGTCGCCTCAGCCTCATCCAGCTTGTCCTGTGCCTTGTACACACCCGCCAGGTTGTTAAGCGTGGCCGCCACGTCCAGTGCATCCGGTCCCAGCTTGGCCTGCCTGATGTCCAGCGCCCACTTGTATGTCGCCTCAGCCTCATCCAGCTTGTCCTGAGCCTGGTACACACCCGCCAAGATTTCCAGAAGAGCAGCAGTAGCCATGTCCGGGACATTGGGCGCCTCCACTGCACTGCAGACCATCTCCTTCGCCCCAGCGTAGTCATCCACACGCTTCAGCAGCGCAGCACAATTCCTTGCTGCCCACCACCACTCCCTCCTCGCCACTCCGGCCTCTCCGCCCTCCCCCTCCAGCGTATCCCGGAGCACCACCACCGCAGTCCGACCCATCGAGATCCAAGCCTCAACCACGTCCCGAACAGCTCGGCCAGCACCAATAGCTTCCGACACCTTGAACAACTCGTCCTTCACCTGCATGGCGATCCGTTCGAGCTTCTTCACGATTTTCTTCCGCTTTCCCTTTTCACCACTCCGCCGGTCTTCTCCCTCAGCGACATGGCAAAGTACTCCTTCCTGGCCTTGTTCAGTACCTCCGTCATCCTCTCCACATCCTCCCGTGTGTACACACGCTCGGAGGACATGGTTACGTTTGCCCTTTCCACCTGCTAGACTTGAGAGAGCTGGTGCCCTCCGCTGCTTCTCCGTTTCGCCGTGTCGCACAGGTTGTTTCTATTGTCCGAACGTGTGCCGTCGAATCTACCGAACGTCTCCGCCGAGTCGTCGCCGGCCATTGACATCCAACAGCTGCGATTGGTGGTGATCATGCTGACGATAGCCCTTTCCTTCGACCACTTCTTCGACCACAATCGCCCGGTATTTGGGCATGAGGCTCGGCCCCTACGTCGTTCGCTGGAGGATCTCGCTCACGTCCTCGCTCGGGTCAACCCCGCGCGCCTCAACGCCAGGGCAGAGACTGCCTTCGATGCCATTGGCGACTGCTGGACTCCACGATAGCTCTCGTCACTCAATGGCAACAAGTCGGAGCTAGCTAGATCACCGTCATTCGAGAGAAGCCAACGTCCAGGTCTGTTTCTTTGCCAACTATCTCGTCATCTGCCAAACCACTGTCAACGCCGACGTGTGAGGGGCGAGCAAATGAGCAGCTGTCGGACATCCGCCACACACGTTGAGGGCGTGCATAGGAAGACATGATCGCTTTTTTTCTGGGCCGTGGAGACCTTTGACGACTCTGACGCGATCGTGATGTACTGGCCGGATCATTGTGGCTGTTGTCCACACCCGATCGAGACGGTGATGACAGCTTTCCGGGCTCGCAGCAGTCTCAGCCTCATCATCGGCCCAAACCAGCGACACAACGGCCACTCCACCACACACCCCTCCCACCCACCCACACCCCACACCCCTCAACCGACACACACACACACACACACACACACACAATATCATGACCGACGGCCTCTACACGTTCGGCTCGGGCGAGTGCGCCCAGCTCGGTCTCGGCCACGACCGCAACGAGCTGCTCCCTGTCCACGTTGCCCACCTGCCGCACACCCGCCTCGTCTCCATCTCCCTCGGCGACGGCTACGGCGCCGCAGTCACCGGTACGGAACTCCCTCCTTCTCCCCTACTTCCTCCTGCACGCACGCCACCTCGCTACTCACTGCCTGCTGCTGCAAGACAGACGATGGACGTCTGTTTACCTGGGGCGATGGCGATGCGGGCCAGCTCGGCCACGGTGGCCACGAGAGCGTGTCCACGCCCAAGGAAGTCACTGCGCTGGCGGGCGTCACCGTTGTCGCTGTCTCGATGGGCTGTGAGCACACGCTCATTCTTGATGCCGATGGCGATGTGTGGTCGTGCGGGACCGGTGACTACGGCATCCTTGGCCATGGCTCGGAGAACGACGAGTTTGTCCCGCGCAAGATCGCCGCCCTCACCGGTACCACCGTTGTTGACGTCTCGGCCGGCACTGGCCACTCGGGTGCTGTCACTGCTGACGGCCAACTGTTTCTCTGGGGCTTTGGCGGCTTTGGACAGCTCGGTCTCGGCACCACAGAGACCATCCTCGAGCCGACGCCTGTTCCTCTTGACGGCAAGATTGCCGTTGATGTCTCATGCGGGATGCGCTGCACCGCCGTTGTCTGCTCCGACGGCTCTCTCTACACCTGTGGTGACAACGAGTGTGGAAAGCTCGGTCTCGGCGACCTGGAGCCTCGCCTCGTCCTCACCCGCGTCGACCGCCTCGCCTCCGTCTCTGTCACTCAGGTCTCCATCTCGGAAGGCTCGGGCGCCGCCGTCACCAACGATGGCGCGCTCTACTCGTGGGGTCACGGCCGCATGGGCAACCTTGGCCACGGGACCGAGACCAATCCCGAACCACTCGTCCCACGCGTTCGCGTTGCCGGTTACAACTACGAGCGCGACTGGGCTGTTCCAAAGCGGGTCGCCGCGCTCGCTAACGTCCATGTCGTCCACGTTGCCATGGGTCCCGAGCACTCGGCCTGTCTCACTGCCGACGGCCAGGTCTACACCTGGGGCGAGGCCGCCAATGGCGAGACTGGCCACGGCGACACCTTTGATCGCATGGAGCCCGAGCGTCTTGACTTTTTCGATAGCCTCGGCTCGGCTATCATCGTCGAGGTCGGTTCTGACCACACCGGCGTCGTCATCGACTCTACCGCCGCCTCTGCCCCCGCCCCTGTTGCCGCTCCATCGGCGACCAGCTCTTCGCCCACCACGCCAGCCGCACCCGCCGCTTCTCCCGCCGCCTCCGACCCTGCCCTTGCCGCCCGAGTCACTGAGCTCGAGTCTGCCCTCGCAGCCTCAGTCGCCCGCTCTGATGACCTTGCTGAACGCCTCGCCATCGTCGAAGTCCTCCTCCTCGATGCTCTCAAGACCCAATCGTCCTAAATCCCCACCACCTCCAACCCGCCACCAACCCGCCACCCGCCGTACCCACTTTTCGCCCATCCCCCCCCCCCTCCCTCCCCTTGCCCAAACCCTCACCACACACACACACACACACTTCACCCCCGCCCACCCCACATGCAACGCCCGTCGTTCCGCCACCGCGGCGGACGCGGTCGCAGTGGCAGCTACTCCGGCTCGTACTCGTACTCGTACTCTGGCGACGGAGGGTACGGCGAGGGCGGTCGCCGCCGGACGTCGCCGCCGCCACCGCCACTGCCCCACCACCATCCGCACCAGCCGCCACACTCGCCGCCACACTCGCCGCCGCATCACCCGCCGCACTCGCCGCCGCATGGGTATGACGACTATGCCGGTGGACGCTCGGATCATCCGCTCTCGCCGCCGTACCCGCCGCCGCACCACCAGCACGCGCACCATCTCCCTCCACAGCAACAACTCCAGCACCAGCACATGATGCCGTATGGCGGTGGCGAGTACGACGATCACATGCCACAGGCCCCGCACTCGGTCATCCCGCTCGACATCTCCGTCCGCAAAGCAGAAGTCAATGCCAAGCTCGATCCCGTCCCCATCCGCACCATCCGCGTCTACAAGGCCGAGCCAGACGAGGACGACATCTCACTGACAGAGCGGACCTTTGTCTCGCCCGTCCTCGGCGGCGACTGGAAGCGGGTCTCCATTCGCTACCCGCTCGCGCTGCGTGACATCGTCCGCTTCCGCGTCAACGGCATGGCCGGCAACGACGAGGTGACTGCCGCTGCTGCTGCGCCGCGCCCGGCAGATCCCCGCGACGGCCACTATCCGCTCAAAGGCGCCCGCCGCCTTGTTCATCGGCCCACCATTCCGCGTTGGGCTCGTCGTGGCGGCCTCCAGCGTTCTGCCGCCACCGCCATGGACGTCCTCGTCTCTGGCCTCCCCAACGACACCGCCGAGGCTGCCATCGGCCAGAACATGGCCCGTGCCGGCGACATTGTTCGCGTCAACATGATCCCCTACCTCGCTGACCCAACAACGTTCTCCGGTGTTGCCGTCGTCACCTACGCCGACCATTCTGGCGCCAACGCCGCCGTCCGCATGTTCCGCCACACCCCGCTCCTTCACTCTCCGGACGTCTCGGTCGTCCTCGACCCGACCGGCACCTTTACCACCCGCGTTGTCAACGCTGCCAATGACGCCCATGCCCCGGTTCGGGGCCTCGACCACTCGCTCGTCGCCGGTCCCGACTCGCACTTTTCTACCGTCGCTAGCACCGCCTCGCGCCCGCCTCTCCCGCCAGGCCAAGCCCCGCTCCCTTCTAGCGGCATCCAGGACCGTATTGCCGCCATTCTCGGCGCCGCGCCGCCGCTCCCGCCCGGCCCAGCCCCGCCGCTCCCGCCCGACTCGGCGCCGCTGCCAGAGACCCCCGCTCCGCCGCTCCCGCCCGGCCCAGCACCGCCACCTCATCCACCGCCACTCGCCGATAACGAGCTCGGGGGCGACGAAGACGGGGAGGTCTCAGACTCAGGCTCGTCGTCGCTTTCACTCTCGGATCTCCGCGCCTCTCCGCAACACGTTGCGACCATGCCGTCCGACGACGATGACACCGCAATGGACGAGTCGTCCGACGCGGAAGTGGCTCCACTCCCTTCAGCCACGGCGTCGGCGCCGCCAGCTCGCGCTCTGCTCCCGCCGCGCATGCTCTTTCTCCGCGCACTGTCATGGAGCCAGTCCACACCGCTTCTGCACATGGTCGAGACGCTCGATAAGAGCTCTTCGGGTGCCCGGCTCTTCTTCACCGCAGCCGGTGACGTCGTTGTCGGTCTCGCCCGTCGCGAGGACTCAATGGCGCTCATTTCCGCCAACAACACTTCCGACCACACCATGTTTGTGCCTTACATGAAGTCGCCCGACGCTCAGCTCGGCGAGCTCGACCTTGCTCCGGTCCGCCGCCGCCCGCCGCTCCCGCACGCCCCAGACCTCCTGGCTGCGCTCAAGACCAAGCTCCACACCTCGGTCATGTCGGCTGTTATGCGCCAGACCGTTGAGAAGCCGGTCATTGCCCACGTCAACTCGTGGTACGCCCATCACAAGCAGCAGCGGCTCGCGAGCAAAAGTCCGAGACCAAGGCCCGCGCGCCAGCTGCGCCAGCGCTCTCGGCCATGCCCGCGCCAGCTCTCGACGGATCAGATGCCCGCGACGTCCTGCCTATTGCCTCACTTGCCTCCATCCAGGTCCAGCTCACTGACGAGCAGCGAAAGGAGGTCGACGCCCGCGCCGCCGCCGTCAAGCGCCGCCGCGCTCGCATCCTCCGCGAGCGCGCCGCTGCCGCCGAGCGCACCCGCAAGCTCACCCGCCGCAACGATGAGGACGATGACGACCTCGAGGGCTTCCTCGATGACGGCCCGCTCTCCGACTCGGAGGGCGACGCCTCGTTTGCTTCCTACTCGGATGCCGACGACGACGACGAGTCGGGCTCCTACTCGGACGATGGCACCTCGCGCTGGCGCAAGGCCACCGCTGGCGATGCGCTCGAAATCGGCGACCACACCAGCACCGTCGCCCCGCGCAAGAAGCGCCGCCGCGTCCTCCGGTCAGAGTCCGACTCGGGCGACGCCGAGGCCGACCTCAAGCAGCTGGCTCGCTCGCTCGCTCGCTCTTCGGCCTCGCGCCGCCACCGCCGCCGCGATGACACCGTCGGTGGCTTTATCGTCAACGACGACTTTGTCGAGATGTACTCATACTCGGGCTACGAGACAGATGAGGAGCAGCCGGCCGTCAAGCGTGCCAAGCACCTCACCGGCGCCCCGTCCCAGCCGAGCGACGCCGCGCCAACTGCGCCTGCCAACCCCCGCGCAAGCGCAAGCGCAAGCGCAAGCGCGTCCACGGCGTCGAACGCATGTCTCCTGTCCCTGTCGACGGCCCCGACGCTGGCGCAGTCGCCGCTGGCTCTGCCGTCCGTGCCCGCTTGCCCGTCTTTGGCGCCCTCGACGCCGAGGACACTCGCTACCTCGCCGCGTACATGGCGAGTTGTGGGCCCGAGCTTGCGGCCGTGTTCGACGTCGACTCGGTGCTCAATGCCGCGGCGACAGACCGGGTTTCCCAGCCCGAGATCGTCGACCTGCCGCCACCACCCGGCGGCTGTGCCCGCTCGGCAGGCTACGTCAAGTCGGAAGGTCCCAAAGACAAGAGCGCCATCTACATGCCTCGGTCGGCGGCCGCGTCCGGACAGGGCGATGCCGCCGGTCCCAAGCGCCTGGAGGCTGCCGCCGCTGCCGGGGCGGCAGAAGCCGCGGCTGCCGGCGTGAAGGGCGGCAACACAACCCGGTCGAACCGGTCCAAGGCCCGCCACATGGTCCACGCGCTCGAGTCGACCCTTGGCGTCCGCCCGTCTGACTTTGGTCTCGGCGTCGACACTCTCACTACTCGCAAACGGCGACTTCGCTTCGACCGCTCCTTCATCCACTCGTACGGTCTCTTCTCGGAGGAGGACATCGAGGAGGGCGGGTTTATTATCGAGTACGTCGGCGAAGTCATTCCGGCCCTTGTCGCCGAAGTCCGCGAGGCCGACTACGAGAAGCGCGGCATCGGCTCGTCCTATCTCTTCCGCATCAACAAGGACCACGTCATTGACGCCACCTTCAAGGGCTCGGTTGCCCGCTTCATCAACCACTCATGCGACCCGTCGGCCGTCGCCAAGATCGTCACGCTCGACGGCCAGCCGCGCATCGTCATCTACGCCCGCCGCAAGATCTTTGCCGGCGAGGAAGTCACCTTTGACTACAAGTTCCCCCGTGAGGACGACAAGATCCCCTGCCTTTGCGGCGCTGCCACCTGCCGCGGCAGCCTCAACTAAATCCTGCCCAACTGTTACCGCGACTGCTGCCGCGTCCACGCCATCACCATCATGTCCTCTCTGCTGCCGGCCGAGAGGTTGTGTACCCATTTACAATCACGCAAACACGTCCTCGGCGTCGACGTCCTCGATGCCGCCAGCAGCGTCGCCGCCGATGGCAAAGTTGATAAAGTGCGACGGCCGGTGCCGCTCGTCGTAGAACGGGAGCGGGTTGCCGAGCTTGAGACCGTACGACATGTGCTTGGTGTGCTTCACGCCCATAAAGTTGTAGTTCCAGCTGCCGGGTGACGGCACCATGCAAAAGCCAAGGAACCGGTCCGAGAGCAGCATCTGTCCGCGCGAAGCAAAGCTCGGCATAAAGCCGGGCGGTGCGTCGGCGGCTGTCCGCGCCTCCTCAGGCAGCGACGCGCCCCACTCGTGCCCAGCCTCGGAGACCGAGTACGCTGTGAGCGAGACCGATCCCGGCGTGAGTGCGAGAGTCACCACCAACGCCGTCGCTGGATCCCACGCCGTCGAGACAAGGCCAGGCCCGCCCTCGGGGTGCTCGGCCGCTTGCTGCGCTGCCTGCTTGACCGACCGCGCGGTCATGTGCGCGTGCGCGATGACATCGCCGTGGCCGAGCGCTGGGCGCTCCTCGCCCATGGTGTGCATCCAGCCGAGCGGCTCGAGGCCGTCGAGGTGCGCCGAGAGCGGAAGCGCGTGCGGGACGGTGACCGCCGCGTGAGTTCCCCACTGCGGGACGAGGACAAGTGCGCGGACCTCCTTGACTGCGTCGTTGTCGGCCGGCGAGCCGCCGTAGAGGAAAGCTGCCACCTGGGTCCGCAGGTCGGCGACACGCACAAAGTGCTTGAGCAGATTCTTGGGGAACACGTACGTGAGCTGCGAGCCGGCGAGCTGCGGCGAGTTGACAAACACGTTCGAGGTGCGTAGGTGAAGGTTGGCGGCGGCGATGGCCCGGACCCGCCAATCGGTCCGCGACGCAAACGTGTCCTGCTCGAATCCGGTTGTGCTTGTCACATTCATCTCTTCGCCGAGTGCGTTGACCGTTCGGGTGGTGACCGCGGTCGCCGGGCCGGCACCGGCAGGCGTCGACTCGTCGAGCGCGGCAAGCTCCTCGGCCCGCGCGTCCGACGGCGGCGCAATGTCCATGCCCAGAATGATGTCGCGGATCTCCGACTGCGTCAGCGACGCCACGTTGATGCCGTGCTTGGTTCCGTAATCGGCGAGAATGAGGTTCTTGAGCGGGTCCTCCACCTGGATCCACTCCTCATCGGTGAGCGTCGGCCAAACATGGTTGTCCTTGGTCGTCACTGACCGCGACGGCCGGAGAATAATCTTGGCCCGCTCCGGGTTGACGTGCAGCGCCCGGAGAATGAGAATGAGCCGCGAGAACGCCGTGTACGACGAGACCGACGAGAGCCAGTCGTCGTACAGGTTGAACAGGCACATCTTGGGCTCGGTTGCCTGAAGAATGAGGTCGCCGAACTTCTCCATCTTGAGCGCGGCCTGGAACGGGAGCGTGAGGTCCGAGCCCTTGATGACGATGTTGGAAAGTCGAGCAGGTGGACCTCGAGCGGGTCGAGCAGGCCCTTCTTGGTGGCAATGACTTGCCGCGGCTGCTCTTCCACGGGCAGCGACCGAATGAGCGCCGCCACCTCTTCGGCGGTCTTCCACCGCGCGAGCTGCGAGAGCCGCTTCTGTCCGGCCCACACCGAGGTGTGGATGACCTTGAGATAGAGCTGGCCGGTCCGCGGGTTGAAGATGACGATGGCGCCGTTGATGGGCTTGGTCGTGATGTTGCCTTCGAACGTGCGGTGGACAGTGACCCGGTACACGTTGGTGTCGTCCACAAACCAGATGACCTGGTCCGAGAACAGCTCGCCGTAGTTCTGCGAGTTGAGGTACGCCTCGGTCGGCTCTGACGAGTACAGCTGGAGCGACTTGCGGACACGCTCGCGGAGGACGTACAGCGCCGGGTTGGCCTTCATGATCTTGGCCATCGCCTGCGTCACCAGCGGCTTGACGCCCGGGAACCAGTTGCCGTAGCCCGAGTGGAAGTTGTACGCGAGGTCGACGCCGAGGAGGACCCCGGTCGGCGACGGGTAGATCGAGACGTCGTCCATAGTGTAGTCGAGGAACTTGGCCCGCACGTACCGCTCAATGTCATGCCGGTCGTAGTCGCCCCACCGGAGCTGGACATCGAGCCAGTACTTGCCCGACTCGATGTCATCGTACACGTCCGTCAGCTGCGAGAGGAGCGACGGCTTGGAGATCGGCCACTTGTACGCCGCAAAGAGGAGGATGTCTGAGCACGACGAGTTGAGCTTGTAGCTCTTGCGCGGGTGGATGGTCTCCTTCTGCACAGTCTCGATCTCCAGCGAGTTCATCTCCTGGTCAAAGACCTGCAGCAGGTCAACCACCAGCGACTGGTGAATCTTCTGCCACAGATGCGCCCGGAAGAGCGAGATGAGCGAAATCTTGAGCGTCGGGATCTTGCCCTGCAGCGTGATGCCTGTCAGGTCGAGCTGCACCGCGTAGCCTACGTACACGTTGGCCCGGTTGATGGTCGGCGACCACCAGAGCGCAAACCGCCGGTTCGGCACCTTGGTCAGTCCGCCACGCTGCGCCACCGTCAGCCGCTTGTACTTCATCGACTCCTCAAAGCCAGATGACTTCTCCCAGAACAGGCCCTCCCACGTCGGAAAGTACGTTGCCGCAAAGAGCGTGTGCGCGAGGATGGCTTCTACACCGCCGAGCGCCTGGATCACGTCGGTCCGGTAGTTGTTGAGGTACCACAGCTTGCCGTCGTGCCGCGAGTTGGTCCACCAGAACGGGTTCGACCGCAGGATCTGGAACCGCTTGTAGAACGCCCGCGCCCGCCAGCCCTTGTCGAACGCGAGCGTGTGCCGGTCGCGCTGGAAGAGCGTGTTGATCCGCGGAATGCCGCGGTCCCACGAGTCTTCGAGATCCTCGAGCGTGATCCGCCGGTTCTGCGCAATCGCGTCAGCCCGCTTGAGTGCGTACTCGGCCCACACCCGGACCGAGTCGCGGATCTCAGACTCCCACGGCTGGATGTAGCGGTAAAGGTTGGGAATCCGCCGCTCGTCGGGGTTCGACTTGGCCGAGTCGAGCCCGGCCCGAAAGTGTGTGATGCCGCCGGTCTCTGTCTGCCGCGACCACCGGAGGTCCGACGCCGGAATGAGGATGTGGCCCATCGAGAGCATGCCGAGCCCGCCGAGCTCCTTCGGCGTGTAGAAGACCTGGACCGGGAACCTCGTCGGCATCTTCGAGTTGAGCCCGATCTTGATCCTCGTCTGGACCTGCGCCTCGCACTTGACCAGCACGTCGAGCAGCGCCGGCGTGTTGATCACCGCCTCGCGGAAGTACGTCATGAGGCCCACCACCGCTGTGTTCCACTTGTTTGCCACCTTGGCAAACGTCGTCGCGCCCGAGTTGACCAGCACTTGCCTCACCCGGTTGCGGAAGGCTGTCACCGACTCCTCGTCGACCATGAGGAACGCTTGCGCCGTGATCTCCTTCGACGCCGCGTTCTGCAGCGACCACACCCCGTCGTGCTGGACAAGCTCGCCCTTGGGCGCACGCACCTTGGGCAGCAGCCGCACCTCAAAGCCGCCCATGGCAAAGAGCAAGTTCGGGTTATCGCCCGAGTAGACCGACACAAACGAGTCGTCCCACTCGAGGGTCGTCACCGACCGCGGAAGCCGGCCTTTGAACTCCCAGAACACGGCCCGCCCGAGGTTGACGTCGTGCTTCTTGAGCCGCATCCGTGCGTCCGCCGGCCACACTCGCTTGTTGTTGTACCCGACCATGTTCTCGTTGTTCGGGTCCGGGTGCTGCGTCAGATACCGCTGGATGAGCTCACTCGACTGCTCGCCGGTAAAGGCGAGGACCACGTAGATCTTGTCCACAATCCGAGTGTACGCCCGGATCGGGTGCTTGGTCTCCAGGAACGTGTTGCCGCCAAACGAGAGGTAGTCGTGCGGCGCCGCGAGCGGACCCACAATCTCCTCAGCCCGGTTGAGTCCGAGGACGCAGAGGTCGAGGAGAAGGCCATAAAAGGCTCCGAGGAATGGCGCAAACTGCAGGCCGCGGATCACGCCGTACGAGTTGACGTGTGTCATGTCCTTGAACGCCAGATTCACATTGTTCTTAGCCGTCATGTAGTCCGCCAGGTTGTGGTCGAGGACAAGCCGGAGGAGCTTGTTGAGCAGGTTGAGGTCCACCTTTTCAAACATCCGCTCAAACTTGGACTCGAGCACCACCAGCGACGCGCCGTCCGCCGTCTCCCACCCGCCGGTCAAGTTGTTGATGCCCGACGCAAACTTGTACACAAGCACAGGCAGCGGCTCCGAGTCGGCCGGCTTGATCCAGTTGGGGAAGAGACCCCGCTTGTCGGCCTCGTACCAGAGGTACTGGTCCAGATACGAGTCGGTAATCTTCTCCAGCGGCTCGATGTCGTAGATAGGCAGCAGATGTGTGTACATGTCCATGAACCTCAGGCCGACCTCCTTGAACGCCCGCAGCGAGAGTAGGTGCCGCTTGATCCGGGAGAGCGCCTCGTGTGGGTTGTCGTACGCCTGCTCGATGAGCCCGAGCTCCTCGCGCTGCGACGCGTTGAGCCGCGCCTTGACCGAGTAGTTCTCCTTGAGCCGCTCGAGCGCGAGAATGAGAAGCTTGGTGTCGTGCTTGTACGAGAGCGGCGGGAACGGAATGGGCGCAAACTTGCGCCGCGCCAGCCACTGGACCATGGTGGTGTACAGCGCGACGGCCTCGGCCTGAGAGATGTACGGCCCGTCCTTGAGGTAGTTGTGCTGGCGCTCCTGCTCGGCCTTGAGGTACAGCCGTGTCAGCCGCCCAAGGTTCTTCTTGGCCACAATCTTGTCCACTGGCGCGCCGCGGTTGATCCGCTCGCGGTTGTAGTGCGCCACCTTGGTCCACCAGTCGGCCTTGGCCTTGACGTACCGAAGAATCATGGCCTCGATAGGCGCGGGCATGCCGGGCACCTTCCACGGGATGTTGGCCTTCCATGCCCGCCATGCCTCGGACAGGTGCTGCATCACCACGTGCGTCTTGGACGCCTGCACGCCGGCAGGCATCATGTCGAGCAGGTCGTGCATGACCGCAGCCCGCAGCTCAAGGTCAAAGTGCGACTCGACTCGCTGCTTGGAGATGGTTCGCGTCACGCTCGCCGAGTTGACGCGGCCCTCAAACTGGCGAGCGAGCAGGTTGCCGAGCCACCGCTCGAGGAGTGGAATGACGCCGCGGAGGAAGAAGCACCACACCCGCCACGACGGGAGCCAAAAGCCGACTCCCGGTCCGGCGCCCACTGCTCCGGTGTTGAACCGCGAGTAGATGACGTTGCGGAGCGCCTTGGTCTCGCGAATCTGCTTCATCACCCGGTACTTGTACCGGTACATGCCCGTCAAGTGCCCCACATTGGCAAAGAGGTGGTGGAGGCCGTCGGCGAGCTGGAACGCGTCGATGTTGCGGATGCGGTACGAGACGTGCGTGTCCACCACGAGCTTGGTAAACTTGAGCAGCTCGCGACAGAGATGGAACGCGTTGCCGAACCGTGACTTTTGCGCTCCTTGGTTGTCAGCGTCTTGACCGGCTTGAGCGTAAAGTTGTAGTCGAGGTGCAGGTAGCGGCAGCCCTTACGGTGGATGAGCAGGTTGAGCGCGTTGTAGCCCTGCCGCACAATCTGGAGCCCGGCCTCCACCCAGTCGAGCGAGGTCGTCTGGAAGAACTTGGTCTTGGCGAGCGTTGGAAAGAGTCCCTTTTTGGAGACGCCCGAGCCCGGCGCTGCGCTCGCGCTGCCACTCGCCTCGTCCTCGCCGGCTTCCGCCGCCGCCGCCGCCTTGTTCGCGTCGAGCACACGCGCCTTGGCCGTGGCAATGGCGTTCGAGACCCAGGCCTTGAGCAGCTTTTGGTAAGAGACACGAATGGCGACAGACTTGGACGAGCTCAGCCGCTCCTTGAACCACGACGAGACGAGCGGCACGTCGAGCGCCCGCTTCGTCCGCCCGGCGCGGGTCGAGAACGGCGGCGGCGCCCAGTAGAGCCGCAGCGCGTCCGCAGTCGCCTCCGGCTCGACCGGCAGGTCACTGAGCGCGGCCGCGAGAGGGAGCGGTGCCACTGAGCACCCGGCTGGTGCAAAGGTGCCAGTAAGAAGCGCTTCGGCCTCAGCGTCGTCCTCATCCCACGCCTCAGGATCCGAGGCACCAAAGAGGCCGGCGGCCGCTGCCGCGCTCCCGTTCTCGCGCGCAGGCGGAATAACGTGGTACGCCGCGTCGTAGGTAAACGCCGGGAGGTCTGGGTCCGTTGGCGGCACGTAGACCGAGGCTGGGTAGTGGTAGGCCGGAAAGGCGATGGCCCTCGGGCGCGAGTTGTACACGTGCGGAAAGGCGACCCGGTAGTCGTTGCGCATGTTGCGCCGAATAATGATCTTGTGCAGGTCGTTGAACTCGTTCCAGTCCTCGTCGGCGGCGTCGTCATCGTTGAACAGCGGCTCAAACTTGGGCCCGCCCGGCAAGACAGCCGAGAGCGACTTGGAGGTCACAAACGACGGCAGGTCGAAGAGATACCCATAGTTCGGGTCGGTCACGTCCGAGAGCAGCTGCGACGCGAGCCGATGGAGCGTGGCCATGATGTCCAGCGGGAGCTCCACTTTTTGTACGACGGCCCGTTGACGTGCGCCGACGCCGCAAGTGGGCGCGGGTCGTAGAACCAATCGTACACCGGCGCGTCCTCCAGCGGATCCAGCTCCATCGCAATGGGATCGAGCGGAAGAACATCAAGAATTGAGTCCGAGTAGTCGATCGGCGGCTCTTCATCGTCAAACGGCGGGAAGCGAAGCCGCTTAAAGTGGGCGCGGTCGCGCTTCTCGTGGCGCATCATCACCCACATCGTGCCCCACTGCGCGGCAAAGACTGGCTCGATGACTCGCGGCGTCTCGTTGACAAACGTAATGGCGCCCGTGACGTGGTAGAGGACCTTGACCTCGCGGACAGACTCCCACGGGAACGGCATGTTCTCCAGCAACTTGTACACCGCGTGCGGCAGGTACTTGAGCGCGCCGAGGAACAGCCGCTTCTCCCGCGAGTACCGCTTGTTCGACAAGTCGCCGTGGTCGCGTACCACCTTGCGCAGATGCTCCGGCGGGAACGGCGCCTTCTCGGGCGCCTGGTAGCTAAACTTGCGCTTGTCCGCGTACCGCTTCTTGTTCAGCGCCCGCCACTTCTTCATCTTGGCCTCTACTCCAGCATCCAGCTTCTGCGCCTTGCTGCCAGCACCATGCGGCGGGCCGCCATGTCCCAGTCCAGGCGGGGGGGCTCCGGGCATGGGGCAAGACAAGGGGAGAGGGGAGGGGGAGGGGCTTGCTGCTACTGCTGCTGCTGCTTTGCGGGATTGATCACCTCCGGTCGCGGTGGCGAGTGACTCGGTTGGGGATGTAGGGTGGGGTGGGGGAGATGGGGGTTGGGTGGGGCTATGGTGAGGGGTGGTGAGGGGGGTGGTCGGGGAGGGGGGAGGGGGGGGAGGAGAGAAGGGGTGGAGTGTACGGGAGGGTACCGGTGGTGGCGAAAGTGCCGGCGGTGGAGGAAGAGGGCGCGGTGCGATCGTGATCGTGATCGCGACGGCGATCATGATCAGCATGTCGCCCTATGTCATGCCATTGCCACGACTCCTCCGCATCACCACACCACACCACACCACCACACCACCCTCCCTCCCTCCCCGCCCTCCCCGCCCCCCCTCCCTCCCCGCCCTCCATGGACAGCCCTTCCCCCGTGGTCGAGCTCGACGTCCACCCAGCGCGCAGACGGACGTCGACCAAGGGCAGGACTCTGACGTCGGCCGCTGCCAAGCCGCCGCCATGGCGAGACACCATGCTGCGCTCGAGGCCTGTCCGCGCATCGCTCTCCGTCTCTGCCTACGCCACCCCGCGCGCTGCGCGCTGCCGTATCCGGCTGCTTGGGGCTACATCGCTCGACGACATTCCCGCTGGCGCCTTCGTCGAGACCGTCGTCGGCTCCTCACGCGCAGTCACTCAAGTCCAGCTTGGGACACCTCTCGACGACGGCCTCGGACTCAGCTGGACACCCCATGACGTCGGCGCCGATCTTGAGTTTGAGCTTCCGCACGCTGCAGCCGTTGCCCTCATCAAGGGCGAGCAGCTCGCTGAGGATGGTGATGGCAGCGCAAGCGACGGCATCGCGCTCACCTTGTGGGGCTATGGCGGGTCGGCGCCGCCGACCTTTGTGGGCCACGTGGTGCTCCCGTTTGGAGAGCTTGTGGTGGCAGACGACCACAGCGAGGCGACTGAGACTCGGCTCGTCCTCGGCAAGATGTCGGTCCGGCTTCTCGACTGGCTCTCGCACTCGATCCTGCACGTGGCGCTGCCCGAGGCCGGTGCCTTTCGCTTCAAGAACACCTCGTACTACCAAGTTGTCCGTGCAAAGGTCCGCGAGCCGCTGCCGCTGCCGTCGCCCATCTGCAAGCGCGACAACATCGCGTTTGAGCTCTACACCACCGAGGTGACATATGTCAACGGGCTTACCGTCCTCGCGCAGGAGCTCTACGGCCCGCTTCTAGCGGCGGCCGACGCGAGCGCAGGCGACTCGCCGGCGCTCCCGTACGCGCTCCCGGAGATGATCCCCGCCACCCAGCTCCGCCTCATGGCGGCTAACCTTGAACTCCTCCTCCGCGGCCATCTCGCGCTACTCGACGACATCGAGGCGCGGATCACGCACTGGTCGGCGTCGTCCACTCTTGGCGACCTCTTTGTCTCGGCCGTTCCGCTCTTCTCGGCATACTCCAAGTACTGCGCCGCCACCGAGCTCGCGCTCTCGGTCCTCGCCGCTGCTGAAAAGACATCGCCGCAGTTCTTCGCCTTTGACCTGCAGTCGTGCCGCTACCACGGCGGCTCCAACTTTCGCGCCCTCGTCATTCTCCCGGTCCAGCGCATTCCGCGGTACCGGCTCTTGCTAGCTGACTTGCTCAAGGCCACGCCGAAGCAGCACCTTGATGTCGGCCCGGTCTCGGCTGCGCTCGCCTCCATCACCAAGGTGGCGTCGAACATCAACTCGGCGCTGTCGTCCATCGGCGACGCCGAGGCGCTCAAGCGCGCAGGCGTCCCGCACTTTTTGCGCCCGGCCGCACTTTTATCGCCAAGGCCGCGCTCTCGCCAGTCTCGCTCCGCTCCTCTTCTACGGCGTCCTCTGCTCCGACGTGCTCCTCGTCGGCTACCAAGAGTCCAAGAAAAAGCCCATGGACGTCGTATACGTCTTTCCGCTAGTCACCACATGGGTCGAGGACCTCCGCGACCTCGACCCGCAGACCGCCAACAGCCTCTCGTTTGAGCTCTACACCTGCGAGGCCTCACTCTTTGTCTACGTCGACTCGGTGGACGCCAAGGCCACATGGATCGCCGCCCTCCGGCGTGCCATCGCAGACGCCCTCGCCCTGACTGTCGGCCCAGACGAGCCGCTCCCGGATCCAACGCCCGAGGGGCTTGCCACCCGCCCGGCCGCGCACTTTTACTACGCCGACGGCTCCATCTACATGGGCGCGCTCCGCTGCGGGGAGCGCCACGGCCAGGGCACCCTCATCCAGGCCAACGGCGACCAGTACGACGGCGCGTGGTTCGAGGGCGAGCGCCACGGGCAGGGCCGCCAGTCGTACGCCTTGCCGAGCGCCAAGTTTGCCGTCCTCGAGGGCGAGTTCTTCCACGGCGTCTTCCTCTCGTCCACAGCCTCAGCCACCGTCTCCATGCCTCTCGCCGGCTCAACGCTGTCGGCCAACTCGCCGTCGCTCTCCATCGCCTCCATCGCCTCCCTCTCGCGCGAGCGCCAGGGCTCGACCCTCGCCCCAGTCCCGCGCTCGCTCCTTGCCACGCCCGAGTCCATCCTCCTTGCCTCGCGCCGCAACCCGCTCCGGGTCCGCCGCGAGGCACTCGACTCGCTGCCGCGCGCTCCTCACCCTGCGCGCCCCGCCCTCGCCAAGGCGCTTGTCGCTGTTCAGGCCATCTCGCCGTCATCGGTCGCCCTTGACGACGGCGGCTCAGTCCACGCCCAGCTCAAGTCGTTTAATGGCGCCGCGCCCATTGGCCTCGACCCGCCGCCGCTTGTCCTTCACGTCGCCCCGGCCCCGACAGGCGCCGGCGTCTGGAACCTCGACGTCGCCTTTTACACCCACGGCGTCTTTGTCGTCGCCATCCGCAACGGCTCCCACCTTACAGACGTTCTCTCATTCGAGGTCAAGCAGCCGCGTCCGCCACCGCACGCCTCGCCGCTCCGCCCCGCACCCGCACCCGCCGCCCCGGCCAAGCCCATCGTCACCGTCACAGACGTCACCTTTCCGCACCGCCAGGCGCTGCAGGCCCGCTCCCGCGCCCCGCCACCCAAGCCGCCTCCGCCCACCCTGATCGACGCCTCGTCGGCGCCGGCACTCTGCGGCACAAGACCGCGCGCCGACTCGGTTCACTTTTCGTCGTCGTCGTCGTCGTCGTCGGCCTCGTCGTCCGAGTACTCGGCGTACTCGTACGGCGACCTGTAAACAGGACGCAACTATGTGCTTCATTCAGGCGTCGCCACTCGCCGCCGCCGCGTACTGCGCCCGCCGCAGCGCACCCAGCTGCGCCCTTGTCTTAGACAGCTCATCCTCGAGCTGGAGGATCTTAGTCTGCAGCTCCATCTCCTGGATGCGGGCGCGGGTGAGCGAGGTCGGCGGCCCAGCTTGAGCCTCGGGCGTGCCCGGGCCTCGGGCAGCGACCGCAGCGCGGAGCGCGACTAGCAGGCCCGCAACCGCGCCATCGACCGCAGAGCTCGCGCGCCCGAGCGAGGCATGCAGCTCCGAGCCCGGCTCGGTCTTGGCCCGCGACGCAGCCAAAATCTGGCAGATCGACGACTTGACCAGCTTGGCCCGCGCTTCGGCGGCGTGGACCGAGCCGCTCCCGGCCACCACCTCTTCGCACGCCTCCACAAGCGCCTCGGTCGCGCTCCCGCAGTGCCGAGCCGCCGAAATGAGGCCCTCACAGTACATCTGGTTTTCCACGTACCGCCGCTGTGCAGCGCTTGATCGCGATGGCTTGGCAAACGGGTTCGTCGAGCTCGCCCCCGTAGGCTCGGCCTCGGCCTCGGCTTCGGCCACTTGCTTCTGTACCTCAGTCGCCGCGCTCACCAGCGCCGCGATGCCCTGCGCAATGTCCATCGACGCTGCAAAGACAGGCGCGTCGGGCGCATCGCCGCTTGCCCGTCCCCGCGCCTCTAGAGCTGCCACGCTTGCCTGCAGTCGGTCCACAATCGCCTGCACTTGCGCCGCCACCTCGGCGAGCTCGTCGCCAAACGACGACGGCCGGCCCGGCTGTGTCGCACCGCCCGGCCACGCCACCAACAAGTCGTCGATCTCCTCGTCCGAGTCGGACGACGAAGTCTCCAGCTCCCACTCCGACTCGGACTCGGTCGCCAGCGCGAGTGCAGACCCCGAGTCTGGTGCCGCGTCTGGCGCCACTGCGGGGACTTGCTCTCCGCGAGCGAGCGCCGCGTCGAGCGCAACATGCGCCGCATTTTCGAGCGCTGCACTCTTCTCAAGTGTAGCCAAGGCGCCGTCGGCACCATCCAGGCCGCCGGCGGCCACAATGGCAAACGCACGCACCGCCGCCAGCGCCCGCGACGCCTCGGGTCCGCCCGCATTGTCGGCCATCGCCAGCGCCGTCTTGGTAGCTCCCATGAGGTCGGTCAGCGCGCGCGAGAGCGTCACCGACCGCTGCAGCTGCGTCGCTGCATACTCGGGATACGGCAGGTGGCTGTCAAGCGAGGCCAGCGCCCGCAGTGCGCCCGACGCCTCCCGCAGCGCAGAGAGAACTGCGTCAAGCCCGGGCCGCGCCGACGAGAGTAGCGGGAGCGACGCTGCTGCCGCGTCGATGTTCTCGCGCATGCCCGCCAGAATCGCCGAAACAAGCTCGCGTTGCTCGAACCGCGCCCGCTCTTCCGAGCTCTCCAGCAGTGCCGTCGACTGGACAAGCTGTGCATGGACTGCTTCCAGGCTGTCCGAGTCTGGAGCACCTTCCGGCTGAGCTCCAGGCGCAGCTGCTGCGGCTGGGGATGTCGCCGTGGCAGGCGGCGCTGCCACCGGGGCCGACTCGACGCGCACAAGCGAGGTCTCGAGCGTCGGCAGCGCCTGCGAGACCCAATCAAAGGCCGCCGCGGCGGTATCGCCTGGTGTGCTGGGTTGAGGAGCCTCGGAAGGCTTGCTGTTGACGACAGGCGCTGGCGCAGCCTCGGCAGTCACATCGGTGACCGCGGCCCAGTCGAGCGCCTCGAGGTCAAGGAGCGGAGTCGATCGCGAAGAGCTGAGCGTGTCGGCGGGCGGCGCCACAACGGTGGCTGCCGGCGCTGCGGCGGGCGTCGCTGTGGGTGTTGCCGTCGGTGAGGGCAGTGGGAGCGGCGGCCGCGAGACGGCGTCCTCGGGCATGCTGAAGAGCCAGTCGCTCTTCTTGGCCTTCTTCTTCTTCTTAGCCGACGACGTCGGCGTCGTCGGATTCGACTTGCTCTTCCCGCCGTAGTTGGTGACGACATGGTGCCAGAGCGGATCGTTGGCTGGCGGCGCAGCGCCCGGGGTGGTCGGCGGGGTGGCAGCCGAAGAAGTCGCCAGCGCGCGGGCGTCATAGTCGGGCAGCGCGAGGATGGGCATGTCGGCGCCGAGGACCGGGATGTCAACGATGGCGGCGAGCGGCTTAAGCGTCGACATGTCATAGAAGAACGACCGGAGCGAGGTGTATAGCGCAAAAAAGCGCTCCGAGAGGTAGGCGACGACGTCGGCGAGCTCGTCGGGCTGCGGGCGCGAGGTCGAGACCAGATGGACCATAAAGGCCTTTGCGTAGGAGAAGAAGACAAAGGCATCGTGGATGGTCGGCTCGGCAAAGGCCATAAACGGCTCGGGAATGGCCTCGCCGGGCGCCGGAGCGGCAAACAGCAGCGTCTGCATCCGCACCGTGTGGTCAAGCAGATCCATGAGGCCGGCCACGACGTACGCCTGGTACCGCGCCGGGAACGACTCGACGTGTGCCCGGCGGAGCTCGTCGGCAGCCTTGAAGCCAACAAAGATGGGGAACCGGTTCATAAAGATGGCTTTGTCACGGACAAAAGCAGCATGCTCGACAACGAGCTCACAGTAAGGACCATACGGCGAGGCGATCTGCGCCTTGAAGAAGGCCTGGATGTCGATGAGCAGATCGTTGAGAGCAAAGATGTCGAGCGAGACCTGCGGATGACCTTCGATGGACAGGGTATGAATAACAGCAAGACTCTTGGCCGCCACCCCGACAGACTCCTTCATCTTCCGCGCCTTCAGTATGTGCCACACGATGCTCAGGCCAGACGCTGCCTCGTACGACGCCAGAATCAGCCTCCGCACATGCTTCCTCTTGGGGAACGTCTTGGTCGCCGCCGCTGCCTTTCTCGCTGCCGTCGCAAGGCTCTTCTCAAGCCCAGGCGGTGACACTACCTCTCCTTCAGCGAGTGCTGCTCCAGGGAGTCCTTCCATGCTCGTGGTCGGGTGAGGGGGTGACGTGTGCCGCAAGTGCCCTCGGTCGCATCAGTCGTTCATTCCTCCGCGTGGTTCACGAAAGTAACACCGCGACAAAACCGCAGCCAATCGATTGATGCCGACTCGATGGAACTGATGCCAATCGATCGAGCTGATCGATGGAGCTGATCCTGACTCGATGGTGCCGATCTTGACTCGATGGTGCTGATCTTGACTCGATGGTGCTTGATCCTGACTCGATGGTGCCGATCTTGACTCGATGGTGCCGATCTTGACTCGATGGAGCTGATCCTGACTCGATGGAACTGATGCCAATCGATCGAGCTGATCGATGGAGCTGATCCTGACTCGATGGTGCTTGATCCTGACTCGATGGTGCCGATCTTGACTCGATGGAGCTGATCCTGACTCGATGGTGCTTGATCCTGACTCGATGGTGCCGATCTTGACTCGATGGAGCTGATCCTGACTCGATGGAGTTGATGCCAATCGATGGAGTTGATCGATTAAGCTGATCGATGGAGCTGATCTTGACTCGATGGTGCTTGATCCTGACTCGATCGAGCTGATCCTGACTCGATGGAGTTGATGCCAATCGATGGAGTTGATCGATTAAGCTGATCGATAGAGCCATATCAACACGCGCACACACACACGCACACACAACATAATCAACTCGTGAAGACACCTTCCTGATGTGTGCTCTCCGACTTTGCCTCCGCCTCTTGTAAAACGGTCTGATTCCTAACCGCCTGCCATGGCCTGTAGCAATCACAAGGACACATTTTTGAGATCTACAATTCCAGACGGCTCAGTTGCAGCCGATGGTCATCGGCGACAAGGGCAACAGCCATCCATCCTGCCACGCATCTAGCCACCCCGCCACTCAACACTCAACTGACCCTCCAATCTTCTCATCTTTCCAACCAGCCGCTCTGCATCCACTGAATCACTCGCCAACCACATGCCCTGACCACATCACGCCATCGTGGCCACTGTTGACTCCCCCCACCCCCTCCACTATCCCCCACCCCCCCTCCCCCCCCCTCCACTCATTCCATCGATTGCCCGATACTGCAGCCCGCCTCCGATCCCCCTCCGCCCCGCCCCCATCCCCTGGCAGTCCGCAACGACCAGCGCCAGCGCGATCACCGCCCGCGCACCGCACCACCTCACCCCCCCCCCTCCCCCCCCTCCCCCCCTCACCATGTCCCGCACCCCACCTCCGTTCCCAGACAAGGTGAGTCCGTCTGCGGTGGAGGAGTACACCCGCCAGCTATCGGCCTGGCACCCTCCTGTGGCCAATGGCATTGCCGAGGGACCTGTCCTTGCTGCCGCCCTCCTTGCCCACCTACCGTGTCCGGCCATTGTGGCTGCGCTCTCTGCCCGCATTCCGTCCACATCGGCATCAGGAAGCTCTCATCCACATCCGCAAGCCATGCAGAGTGCACGTGGTCATCCGCTGGCTGCTCTGCTCAAGCTCATCCTCACTCGCATCATCCACGGGCCGCTCGCCCCGCCGGTGGCTGCCCTCCTCGCCAAGCTCGACGCCGCTCTCCTCGCTCCGCTCATCGTCTCGGGCGCGCTGGCCCCGGCTACTGCGGCGGGCCTCGCCGCCGGTTTGATGGTCGACTTGCTGCCGCCGAGGGCCGACATGCCTGTCTCGCCAACCGGCTCTGCCGTCCTCGTCCTCCTCTCAACCGCCCTCGTCCCGGCTCTGCTCGCCGCAGACTGCCTCCCGGACGAGCTCGACGTCCTTGCCAGCCACGACGCACTGGCGCTCAGCCAGCTGCGGGCCCGCCCGGCTGAAGTTCTCGCCGCGCTCCCGCACAACCCGGATCCGGAGCGCATCGCCCGCCTCGCCCGGCTGGTTGCCGCCGACGAGCAGGGCCTTGTCGCCGCTGCGCTCGCGAGCTGGCTCGTTGCGTCGCTCGCCCACCTCGGCTGGGCGCCACCCCTCTTCGCCGCCCTCGCCGTTGGCACTCCGCCGACTGACGTCTTGGCTTCGCTCACTGCGCTGACCACGAGCACGGCTGGCGCAGACTTCTTTGCCCCGCTCGAGGCCAAGCTGCTCGGCGCGGTCGTTGCAAGCTCGGCCCGGGCGTCGCCCGCCTCGCTCGGGCCGTGGCTCTCTGCGCTTGCTGCGGCGTACACACCTGCGCTCGAGTCGCTGCTGAGCGGGGAGCTTGTCGACGCCGTCCGCGCCGCAGGCGGCCTCTGCCCGCAGCTCTGCATCTCTCCGCTACTCGACCTCCTCGAGACTGCAAGCTCTGCACACCCCTCGAACCAGCCGTGGTACCATGGCGCCGGCCTTGTGCTCGTCACCACACTGGCAACAAGCGGCGCACGGACAAGGTCTCCGCTGAGGTCCTTGCCGCCGCCTTGCAGCGGGTGCCGTCGCTGGCAGCGGTCGATGCTCTGCTCAAGTCGCTGCTCTCGTCGGCAGCGGGGACGAACGCTGCCGGCCTCTGGGCATGCTCCGTCGACAAGCTGCTCTCTGCGCTCCCGCCGCTGATAGAGGCAAACGACGAGGGCAAGGCCAAGCAGGTGCTCGGCGCGCTGCGGATGGTGGCCACTTCGCCGTCGTTTGTCGAGCTCAGCACCGGACAGGAGGTGCTGCGCAGGACGCGACTGCTGGTCTCGCTCGCCCGAGCGACCCCTAGCATTGCCGCGCCGGCCCTTGGCCTCCTCGGCGCCGCGCTCGCTGCAGTCTCGGCCAAGGATGAGGTGCTGGCGGAAATGGAGACCGCGGCGCCGGGCGTGGCCGCGACGTCGGGCGCGTTTGTGCTCTCAGTCGAGGCGATCCACTCGCTGCTGGAAGAGGTCTGGGTGCTGATGTTGGCCAGCATGCAAGATGCCGACGCTGCCCAGCATCAGCGCGACATCCTCGCTGCAGGACGGTCGGTCATGCACCACCTCGGCTGCTTCTCCGAGGCCTCGTTCCACCACCTGGTCATCACCCTTGTCGACACGGCCTTCTCGCATCTCGCCAACAACCTGCTCCGCGCCACGCCGACGTACGCCTCACTCGCGGACACCCAGCTCTCGCTGCTGGCACGGGCGAACGCCTCAGGCGAGGTTCCAGCCCAGCTCGACGTCTCGACGCTCGGCATGGAGCTGGCGGCGCCGCTGACACAGCAGCTGGCAGCGGTGGTGAGCACCCGCTCGACCACCTTTGTCGAGCGCACGTCGGCCTCATTTGAGGCCTTTGTCTCGCGCCCGAGCTCGCTGCTGGAACAGACCGCAGCGCCGGGTTCGAGGGCATGACCGGCGGACAGATGCTGAAGCTTCGCGGGGCGCGGCAAGCGGCGCAGGGCTTGTCGCCGGGCGGGCAACGCGCCCGGGCCTCCCGCTCTCGAAGT